GAAAGATTCGATTATGTTGAATTTAGTAAAGTTGGTATTCATCAATTATTATTTAAGTTCGAATACGACAAATTTAAGAAATGTATTCCAAGCCATAAATTAAATGAATTATGTATAATTTAAATCAAATAGGAGTAGCTACAGGAGATTTCGTTAAAATACAGTATTCAGTTTGAAGGCGAAACATTATTACCTATCCCTCCTGAAACAAAACTTCGAAAACCTATTGTAACACGTCATTGGGTAAATTATTTGAATATACCTTTTTCATTTACTTGGCAGAAAGTGTCAAATTTTCAATTTCAACAAATATAATATATCAAGTTATTTTTAAGTGTTTCTCTATATCTTTCCATCAAAATATAATCTATGCAGATGGCGTATAATGGACAATGACCAGTTTGATGTATGTAAAGAAACAAAAACCATTTTTATTATTTTGTTAAAATATAATAAGGTTCGAGTTTTGGGGAAAATAATTGGAAACTTGTTTAATAATCACTTTCATGAGAAAATAGATATTATAACAAAATTAAAAGTTATATTGAAGAAAAGGGAAACATGATAAACTTCATGTTAAATTTAGGCCATTACGTAATAAACATAATATATATCAACATTCTCTATGATGGTAAAGAGTATAATAGTAATATTAAAGGTCTGTTTCTTTATTCATTAACAAAAAATGCAATATCATATATCAAATAAGCAAAGTGTTTTATTGACGAAATACACTGAAATTATTCAAGAAATAGTGAGGTTATAACTAGGTAGAGCACTCAAAAAAATAATACACATAAGACATTCTTTATTTTGGTGTCATATTAAAGATATCAATGATATATTTATTTTGCTGCAAAAATTTTCAAATTCTGTCAAGGCATTCCTGAGATATGGTCTTTTGAAGATATCGTAAAATCATTCAAAAACCTGCCGCAAATAGCAAATTATGGCAAAAATTGATTTTTTTTTACATGTCTAAGGGTGTTTTTTTGACATAATAGAGTATTACATGGTCTTAAAAATGATATGTATTGTGAAACCAAAGTGAAATAAGCATGAAATATAAAATTCAAGAACCAGACTTGTTGCATTTTGGTGCACCGGATTGACAAAAACCACATTTTGTTCAATTTCACCAATCCGCAGGTTTGGAAATGTTCAAAAAACGACTAAGTCCAGCTAATTAATATGCGTAAATGCAATATCTCAAGTTTTAAATGAGTCTGTTTGATACAACTTTGTGGCAAGCTTCAACTAATGAATCCCTATCCATTTATATAATAAGATTTATGAAAACTAATTAATTATGCAAATGAGCTGATAATTAGCTAATTACATATTCGCAACACCGTTATGAAAATTAGACAATGTTTATATATTTTTTTTCCTTCTCACCTAACTTCCTGATCTATATAAAACAACTGTAGAAAGTTTGAGCTTTGTAGATGCTTGCATTTGCTGAATAAAATGATGAGCTGAACTTTCGCAGCAATTTCCAGTAATGTTTCACTCGATGGATTAAAAATCGGAGCATGTGGCAATAAACTATGGATGTTAAACTACTGAAAACCAGTTTAGGATTTGAAAATCGGGCAATATTTACGGATTTATGAGCATTTTCTGAAAATTCATTCAACTCAATGTAACTTCGTGTAGAAACAAAATTCCGATGTACCTGTTGCTGGGGTAGCCAGGGAAAGGTCACAGGTACCATATATGGTAAGGTCATTGAAATCCAGTGAATGAAACATTGGTGGCAAGTCCATTTTTTACAGGGGAGTTTTTTCCAATCTGCCGGGATATTTAGTGCAGTATTGTCCGTGGTGATTGCACACACCCACTGGCCCAATTTGCGCGGTGTCAAAAACATCCCTTTTTAAAAAAATAAAATAAATACTTTCCCTAATACCCACACCCACATGATTTTAAGTATAGTGGGTTAAAAGAATGACTGAAATATCTGTGAAAAAATTATGTTGTTACATGTTTTTGAATTTTTAAAACATAAGTTGAAAAATGGCTTCTCAGCATAGATTTGCTATTGCTGTGCACTGACGTGCACGGCAGAATGTATATGCATGCACTGTGATCAGCCTATTATAACCATTCCTTCATTCACCTTTGTTATCTATCTTGTGTTTAAAATGTAAATTTATGTAGATATATATGATAATCAGTATGTGAAATAAAACACCTCAGTAAGAGTATAAGAAACAGAAATCTTGTATGTCGAGTGTATTATGGTAATTATGGAACATTCCGTATTAGATTCAAGATTCAAGATTATTTTATTGGTCCATGCATGCAAACATTACATAGAAATTTTGCTTCCAACGGCTTTTTTGACAGTGAAAAATACAAATGATAGAAAATACAATACAATATTCAACAATAGAAAACGATGGACATATGGATAAGTATTTATAATGTGCATGTGCCCCTCAATTTCATATTGTTTACAATTACCATGCGTCATAAATTACCATGCATCATAATGTTTCCCGTCAGCTCCCCCTCCCCCCCCCCCTCCCATCACGCCCCATCCGCCCCTGGGCCCGATCCCCAGTCTCCAGTTATCCATTTAAGCCTAAAAGCCTAGACAAAGTAAAGCCTAAAAACATGATACTTTACACTTCTTGTCCACAACGACGAGGGCGTGGCATCTGGTAACCATTGGCAACCTCCGTCTGGACAGTGTCAAAGTTCATATTAGGGTACGGCCTCGCACCTTAAATAATCAAAGAAAAATAACAAGTAAAACATTTAATCTAATATATGAATATGAGGCATCTGGAGGTCTTGAGAGGTATTAGATTTATCAGCACATATCATTTTCTATCAAACTTCGATAGTACACGCAGAACTAGTGGGACAACGTTAGACCTAATGTTATTAACATCTGTGACATGTATTGTAATAGGAAAAATAAAATAAAATAAAAAAAACGCAAATATTATCGGTGGGTCTTATAAAGTAGAAAAGGTAACTTGCATTTTCTGTCCCTAACATACGACAAAAAAATATCAATCATTTTCTACTTGATTACTGAAGTCCAATGATATATGTTACTTTAGTTACTAACACCATATGATCCACGTAAAGTGAAGGGAACGTTGTATGGTGGTTCATTATTTTGACTCTCAACCCAAGGGTTTCGAATTTCAGCCTGGCACTAACGTCCTTTGGTAAGACGTCAATCCATATTTGCCACTCTCTACCCATTCCACCCTGCTAGGGTAATATTAATGAAAAGACCATGAGGATGAACAGCTGTAAAGCTGATAAGGCTCTCTAGTATGTAAACCAAATAATATCACTATTATTATTATAATCATTATTATTTATCATCAATTTAATCTTTATTATATGATAATATCAGGGTCTTTAGGATGGAACGAAAAATTTGTTGTGATATTATTTTTCTTTTTTTACCCAATGTCACAATTTCCCACAAGACGATACCAAAAGACCAGATATCTCCATAAGTTGATTGGTCACCAGTACCCATGGATTCAGGCGAACTCCATCTTGTTGGTTTCTTAAAAGTTGGAAAATACAAAGAAGGTTGAAAATCATCTTAACGTTAAGTTTCTGAGAATTACAGTCTTTCTTTTCATTTTTTTTAAATAATTCATTATTATTTATTCATGGTTTAACACAAATCATGATTAGCAGGTTGAATTGTTCAAGTATACATAATATACAATATAGCAAATGGCAAAACTTTACAAACACCACTGTCGATAAACTAAGTAATAGTAATCAGGGTTTGAATAATTTAAGGGAAAACAACAACAAACGTGATAAATCATAAAACATAATTCCATGGGTCGCGTTTTCCTAGTTTCAATTTTGTTTCGATATTTTTCTCGGGGTGGGGGATTGAAGTCATCATTAAAGATATACCATATCTATGCTGACGATATAGCATTGAATATAAACGATAATACTTACACTTTTGTCGCTAAACAATGATGAAGATAGTCCATAATCTGATAACTTGCATTGCCTTCCATCAGCTAGTAACACATTGTGAGCGCAGAGAGTTCCATGGATGATCTTTAGTGTGTTTTTTTGTAATATAAAAAATAAACTAATAACGATTATAAAAATATTAAACAGTAACAATAAACAAATTAATAAAAAACACTATAAAATAATTCATTTGTGGAGTAAGCTTCAGCTCATTTTTACCATTCTCATTATGAATCCCATTTACCACTCTCGCATCGTCCCTCGTGTTCTATCACCTTTTCCCCCAACTTTTATAATTCTCATCCTCCTCCAACTTATACTTGGCCTCAACGTACTTGCTCACAACCACCCACTCGCCATTGTCTCATTTTCTCCGCTTCTCAATTAATCCTCAATTTTCTCCTCCTTTTACAAAAATCTTACTCCCCTTTCCTCTTCAAATCAATATCTTGAAATAATGTTACCTTCTTTGATCCAAGAAATTGCATCCCTTTTGCAATTTGCCAAGCCAAGTTGAGTAGACTACCTTCATCGAGACGAACGCTCTTTGGTGTGAGATTGCTGTATGTGGGTTGGGGCTGCACCCCTGTGGTCTGTAGATGGGTGAGTAGGGTGCCCCCAGAGATGTACTCATATAAAATGCTACCTGCATCAAGGGCAATTCGTTCAATTAAAGAAAACAAATATTTGAAAATACGATAGTTCCTACTTTCGGGGGAAAACAAATCAATATATGGCATTTTTAATCACCATGTGCGCCCCCTATGTGCGAAATGGCAATGACGTATTACGAAATCCGAAATTGTTTTAACAGCTGTACAGAAGCTATTGTGATGGTATTGAAACTCAGCTGTTATAATGTGTTTCATCAAACATCTCGTTTTAGTAAAAGAAAAACATTAACTATCCTATAGAGTGGAATGGTCTTCAAAGACCTTCTTGTTTTACTAATTAAATCATTCCTAGTTCTTTAGACGATGAGCCTACTAAAAATGTTTCATACCCTCGCCTATACAGAATTTTCAACAGGCTGCATTCCAAAATAATAGATACAATTCGTCCTTGTTTTCACGAAGTGACGGTAGTGAGGAAAATCGTAACGCAAAGTGAATGCAATTTTTTTCTTCACTACCGTCACTTCGTGAAAACAGCGACGAATTCTCATATTCACATTAATTTGTATAATATCGGGCAGACAATGGACAGCTTTGTATTTACTGGAGGAGGTTTTTTTACCTTGTTCTTGACAATATCCCAGGCATGTGACAACATTTGGCTGATCCGCTAGCTCAGAAAGTACCTTGACAGCTTCAAGAACGTTGGTTGATTTGGTCACTTGATCTAAGAGAACATAATAAATGGCTTACTTTTCAAGCGATGTGTTATTAGTGATTTTCAATGATAAATACAACGTTTCATGAAGCTCAAATTGTTTTAGGCTACATTGATATTCATGAAAGCGATTTGCCTTTTCGGTCTTTTTAAGGAGTGGTTGGCAAAACCTCACCTGGAATCTGCCTGATAGCAACGTCTGCTCGACTTTGATTCGAGCGGAATTCACCCTTCCATACCTCGCCGAAGTCACCCCGTCCGATTGAACCGAGTCTGGTGAAAAACGCCACGTTTTCAGGAGCAATGATGGATGAGTGGGATGGACCGAGTTTGAGGGCTGTGTATGCTATAAAACAAAAACAAAATATTATCACAAGGATTCTATTACTTGAAATATAGGATGCAAGCAACCGGAGTGTTGGCTCAGTCAGTAGAGCGTCCGCCTCACAACCGGGAGGTCGTGGGTTCGAACCCCGGCCGCGTCATACCAAAAGACGTTAAAAGATGGGAGTTTGTTACTACCTTGTTTGGCGTTCAACAATAAGGGATAGAGCAACGTCGATCTGGCGTTGCTCAGTGGCTGCCGGGCTCACAATCGATTGGGCAAAAAGAATTTCCGTTTCGGTTTAATAAAATTTGGAGTGGACTATTAGGCTATTATTATTATTATTATTATTATTATTATTATTATATTATTATTATTATTATCCTTCACACTCTAAAAAAAAAGGGTTAAGGCTGATCATTCTACATTTCTTTGGAAATATAAAACGAAAGTGAAAGAGTATTCACCATAAGCTAATCATTGAGTGTGTGTATGCGTGTGTGTACGGGAAGGGATGTGAATTCGCAATTTAAAAAAGTGGCTATTATTAGAGGTAAGATTTAAAAACTCTGTTGAGTTAGTAGGCCAAGCAAGAATCTGATCGGGGAGATGATTAAAGGTATTACAAAGTTTTGGGAAATTTTGAAAAATGTGTTGAAAGTCATTCTTTACAATTTTGATATATTTGGATGCCCCTGTGGATGTATTAAAAACACCAAAAATGTTAGACCCTAAAACACTTCTGCTTTCGAGAAAAATTGAATATAAAGATTTTCCGGTGCTCCCGGTAAATTTTGATAAATCCTACGGCCGTACAATGGTAGCTGCGACCATGAAAATCTCAGAGTATGTAGTTGTGGTATATACTTTCCGAACGAGAATAGCTAATCGGTCGATTTTATTCAATAAACATTGTTTTATATTGTGTGTGTGTGTGTGTATTGGGTTTTTACAGACGTGTATCAATCAGATATGATTATTTACGTCTGGGACCGACCTTTAAACGTCACCATCCGAAAGACGTGACTCAGTTTCGAACCTGCGTCCTCGGCTGAATCAGTTTGTAACTTCCACTTTTTAGCTGGATTACAGGCGCACGCCACAACGCCTAGTTTATAGCTTAATTAATAATTTGACCTTGAGAGGGAGCTATTCAACATAAAGTGTTTCAACATAAAGTGTTTATTATTTACAATTTCATAACTTTAGAGTCGATTTCGACCGCGACAACGTTTACTGAATATTGTGGGATCGCATATGCTTCCAATATGTTTATATGAACCAAATTCATGACCCCATACCAAAAATTTGTATTACCTTTAAGCTTATGTTTCCTTTGGAAAATATACTACTAATTTAATCAATTGATACAAAGTAATGCACTCGATAGTTACGATATATTGTGCAGTTTTGGGCGAAACGATTATAATTTATTATTTTTATAATTATGAGACGTTTGTTTGGCCACGTACAAAGCCATAAATATTTCCATTACTTATGTTGTGAATAAATTTTCCATCGCAAACCTTTGACTGATTTCACACATTTTCTCACCGCTATCTCCGGTCTGAATCATCTCATATGCCATGTTCTCATTCGCCTCATGGGATACGTATCTTTTTTCTCTGACAAAACAAAACAGTTGTTTCTTCATAAGGCATTTAAATCGATACTAAAATGTTAAACTTTCTGGCCTAGTAATTGTACAGCGCCATCTCACAGAGCTAATTTTCCAAATACTCGTATTAGAGAAGGGTTGCTCATTTTGTGTGTGATAGTAAATACCGAATCATTTTCGTTTTCCGCATTACGAAACATGTCTTCATTCTGCATTCATATTAACTTCCTTTTAATTCCCTTGAAGACGAGAGTTTCATATATATGAATACAAGCTCGAGTTTCACTTTACTTTTTAACATGTAAACACATGATAAATTATGGGCGCATATGTTTGTGTAATCGATATATTTATATATATATATATATATATATATATATATATATAAATTCTGTTCAGTATTCCAAACTGCTTAATACTAACCTAGGAACAGGTTTCTTTGATGCTTCAAAACCTGCAAAAAGAGAAAGAAAAAGAAGAAGCCAATAATTATAGAAATGTTGCTATATTTTCTGCGCACAAAAGAGGTATATGACACATTTATCAACAAGGAAATAAACTTTAGTCCCTAGTAAATGAGCACTATCCTGAGGTATTGACATGGCACATGTATTGGAAAATACTCGAGAACGCGATACTGGTTATGATACGCAAGAAAAAATACCTTCGCTTTCAATTTTCAGTATTTTGTTTCCCTAATCTGCTAAAGCAATACCAATTCAATGAAAAGTAAATACACGAATCGGTTCTTCATGATAGGCCATTAACTTCTAACATATTAGTTTCGTCAGCTTGATTAGGATATCCTGATAAGGATTACTTTATCTTTGATAATTAAATATTTTATGCATGTTACCAAAAAAAAGAAATTATTCTACAGAATGACATATAAATAGTCCAATCAAATTTAAATAGTTCCATTCATTTTCATAAGACATAATGCAGTCGCTAGGGATATTACAAAACTGATTTTAGCTCAATAATAGTCTGTGGATATATAAAAGAGCTATCATTCCTATGAATTTTGTATGGATGAATATTCTTACTTCATTCATTTATAGAATACTAAGTGGATCAATGATACAAGTACAAGAATACTAATCATTTGCACGCACATCTAATGAGTAAAATTGGTGATATTTGCCTTTTTTTTTAAAGTAAAACGAATCAATATAAGGTATATAATTGAAGATTACTTTTATTTGTAAATTGTTTAAATGGACTATTCTTATATCAAATCGAAGTTGTCAAATTCCGCCAGTTTTTCTCGGAAATTAACTTTGCAATTAATAATTGTATGTGTTGTAGATGTTACTTTTACACATAGTTCTAGGGCTGTAAATGGACAAAAGAAGAAAAACAAAACATTGAAACCCTTCCCAGAACCACCCTTTTTAAATAGAAATATTTTCATATCATAAGGAAATTATGTCAACTTGATTAAAGTTTAGTTATAGTAATTGTTATATGGGAGGTGGGATCGGGTTGAAACACAAGACTTTTCGGAAGTGGGGGGGGGGATAAGTTCAGTTAACCTGATCTTGTTTCTTGTCTTCTCCACACAATGAATTGAATGACGTTGATGATGAGAGACACAGCTAACAGGATGGCTAAGACTGCGATGCCTACAGCAGATCCAGAACTCAGACCATTACAGGTACACGGTACAGGAGATAGCTCTGTTACATTCAGGAATATCAAGTAAACATGAATCATAAGAATACTATCTTTGTTTTAAAAGAATGCAAGAATATCCAGGACAGAAAGAAAACGAATCCTAACTGCCCCTTTATTAAAAAAAAAGCAAAGGCTCTGTATTCTACTACTACTACTACAACTATTGCGACTATTCCTATTTCTACTCCTAGTACTATTCCTACTACTAATTATCTCACTACTCCTACTCCTTCTGCTGCTACGGCTACTCTTACTACTACTACTAATACTACTACTACTACTACTACTACTATTACTACCACTACTACTATTAGTGGCGGATCCAGCCGGCAAGTGAATTTTTTTTAAATCATTTTTTTAACTCTTTTTTTTGGCCGGGGAGTGGGGGGCCTGTCGCCCCACACCCCCCCCCCGTGGATCTGCGCCTGACTTTTTATACTACTAATATTCCTTTTGAATTGAAAGAAGACGATAAAGTGGATTATGTGGTACTTTCTGGAGTACTACTTGTAAATCCTCCTATTAAAGATAATGAGGTGTAATTCTTTGGTTATTTTTATTTATAAATAAGATAAAATCACAATTATAATTTTGTATTAAGGGGCATCCCTATTACATTAGAGACAAATGGCTACTTGCTTGCACAAAAACATGAAAAGACAGTTGATATAGATTACATATTACAAGATATACAAAAAAGGGGAAATCACAAACCCAAACCCCTAAATGAAAAATGAACTTCAGGTAAAAAAAAAAAAAAATCAGTCATACTCGATACTAATTTCATGAGTCGGTATTTATACCACTTTGGAAACTACACAAAAGCGTTTCGAGTCACTATCTATATTGTATTTTAGATTCTCTAGATAATCTAAATTACATACAATTTGCTGTTGTTAGGGCAACTCAAAAAATTCCGGAATGAAGCATTTAGGGTTGAACGCATGGTATAACTGTTAGTATGCATTTAAAACCTACTCCCCTTTGTTTACAGAATTGAAATATATTTGAGATCTTGTTTCACAAAATTGCTTAATAAGTTCGCCAAGTTATTGGAGAAGTATTCGTTTGACATCTCTAACAGTTCTTTCTTGAAATACATTGCGGGAACAAGACATCAAGAAACCAAAACAATTCTATATTAAAAAAACATATATTTGAACTATTTATTACATCTTATCTCCTTTTTATTCCATTAAACGAGGACAGGTAAAGAAAAGCAGGCTAGAATTGTATGATTTGTGTTATTTATCATCTGAGATCATAAAGTAATTCCAATGATTAGATAAATACTTTACGTGTATACAAGTGTAGAGGATATATAGATTTCGAATGTAAGGAACACATATTCACCTCCTGTCGTGCCTGTAGTCGTTTCGTCATTAGTAAAAGTTCCCGCATATAAATGAAAAGTATAGGTTATAAAATTGGTGCAGATGATATATGACATAGCTGGTATAAATGACAAGGGTAAGTGAGCATGATTATTTCATTTTGTTTTTATCTTGATACTATTTTTATCATTATCATTGTGATTTTCTTTTATTAATCATTACCATTATAATTATTATTGTTGTTATTGTGATGATACCACTACTACCACCACTACTACTTCTACTACTAATACTACTACCACTACGTCTACTATGACTAACGATAACAATAATACTTATAGTACCACTAATACTAAAATGATAATTATACTACCACTACTACCACTACGTCTACTACGACTAACCATAACAATAATACCGATAGTACCACTAATACTATAATGATAAGTATACTACCACTACTACCACTACGACTACTACTTTTGTTAAAACTATTTCGACTACTTCTACTGAAAATAAATCAGACACACTCGATACGAAGTTCACGAGTCAGTATATCGTCCTTGTTTTCACGAAGTGACGGTAGTGAGGAAAATCGTAAGGAAAATGAATGCATTTTTTTTCATTACCGTCACTTCGTGAAAACAGCGACGATATGTTTGATAACCATTAAGCCTTGACACAAGATGTATACTTTAGATTTTGGAAAATATACAAAAGAGTTTCCGAGTCACTATTTACACACCATGCATCTTAGATTCTTGTACAATAGATAATTTGGTGTTGTTAGAGCAATTCAACAAATTCAGGAAGTAAGCATTTAGGGGGAAATGTATGCATGCCTTTTACTTTACAATAGTTGCCGCTTTGTTTCCAGAATTGTAATATATATATAGGATCTTGTGATATCTTGTTTCACAAAGATGCTCCATCAGTTTGCAGAGTTATTAGAGAAGTTGGATTTAAAACCTTTAAGAGGGCTTTCTTGCTATGCATTACGTGAACAACAAATTAAGAAACCGAAACACTTTTAGAGCAATACCATAATTATATTCGCATTATATCTTGCATCTTATTATTCCATCAAACGTAAAGAGGTAACAAAAAAGAACGAGGCTAGAATTGTGTTTTTTGTGTTATTTATCAACCGAGATCATAAAGGAATTCCAACAGTTGGATAAATATACTGGGGTTTCAAAACTATAGGGGATATATAGATTTCGCGTGTAAGGAAAACATATTCACCTGCTGTCGTGCCTGGAGTCGTTTCTTTAGTAGTGACAGATCCCGCTGTAGGTGGAAGATATATATTGGTGTAGGTTATCGACAATTATCATTGTTATTAATATTATCATTATTATTATTGTCGTTATTGTGATTATTAATTTAATTATTATTGTTAGGATTGCTAGTACTAAAATTTCTACTACCACTACTACTACTAATGATAATAATAAGACCACTAATAACACCACCACCACTACTACTATTACTACTACTACTACTACCACTACGTCTACTACTACTAAAGATAATAATAAAACCATTAGTATATTTAATTATAATAATAAACACTACCACTACTACCACTTCTACTACTACCACTACTACCACTTCGAATACTACTTTACTTTCTACTATTTCGACTACTTCTTCTACTACTACTGCTACTGATACTATTACTACTACTACTATTATTTCCAATCCTACGTCCTCCCCTTAGTTTTGTTAGGGGGATCGTCCCCCCCCCCCCCGGAAAATCGGAAAAGCGCAAACAAAAAATGTATAGCAAATACTGACTAAAGACTGCAACACACTTTTAGGCTTTGGAGGGCCCATGAGTCAGCGTTGGGACTAATAAAAATTTCAAAAACTTGTTATACTCCTATTCCTACTTCTACTCCTACTTCTACTACTATTACTTTTACGATTAAAGAAAGAAAAGCCTAGTTTCTCGAGTACTAGGTGAAGATCGTC